TGCAGAAGATCAAACTCAATTGTATTCTTCTATTTTGTTTTTGGTGCAAACAGATGTACACAGAAGATACATTGACAATCATAGACATACTAGGATCCTGCTAGGTCTCAAATTAGAATATCTATAAATTCTCTCTATGTAAATTTGGTTTTCAGTGCAACCTATGTACTGATTTTTATAATATATACAATAGTTACCAATTCAAAAAAAAATAACTAATGCCCTTAAACAAATTTACAAAAAATACAAATTGAAAATTATATTTACAAGGAGAAGGAAGAACAACTGAAATAGAAAGGAGAGAAAGTTCAGAATTTTGTTTTGGGAAGGGTATTTCATTTGTTTTGGGAAGGATATTTCAAAAATTACAAAAGTTATTAAGAATAAAATAGTAAACACTTTGGCTTATAAGACTTGGTTACAAGCACTTTTAGTGTTTACCAAATGTTTAGATAAGTCAAAAACTGCTTACCCAAACTCACTCTTAGTCAGTAAAGTTAGAGCTAGATTCTGGTTTATCACATTATATTCAGGTACATCATAAGAGGTGTTGGTTCTATTATGGTATAGTGGGATTTCGAGATCTTTTCTTTGATTTCTTTTTTTCTCCCAAATTGTAGCACAAGAATGACTGGAATTGTTCTCGGGAAGTGCAAGCTTTCCAATTGTATTAGTAGCTCAATTAGGCGTTCCTCTTTTTGTAGTATCAGCAAAAATGAGTTGAGATTTGCTCTTATTGTTACGGCGTGGACAAAATTCCGGTGGATTAGGAAGCAAGAATTAGGGGGATGAACAAATGTCAGAAGTGGGTGGCATAGCCTGTTGGTTCCTTGCTGCAGTTTTGGACAAACCAAACCCTTTAGTATGTTGTTTTCCCATGTTGGGGGGTAGAATCTCAGAGTCTTCTGATTGCAGTTCTTTTTAGTTTTATTGTTTCAGTGGTAATGGCAGTCATATTTTCATGAACTTTTCATCTTAGGAAAAAAAAAGAAAAGAAACTATGTTGATACCAAGTATAATTTGTGAAAACTGTTGAAGCTATTGAGAACAATGGATTACTTATCTTTATGCTTTTGAGCCGTCTTTATGTGCAACAGGCAGTAGATAATGACTCTACCTGTGCAGGATGGGGAAATTTGGACTTTCACTGTTCGAGCATTCGATTCACCAATCCCGGGACACACCATTAATGTTAACTATGATGGATTTGCTGAAGGTTTGCTGTATAAACTGAAAGAGATAGTAAAACTATTTTTTCCCGAAGAACTGTAGTCTGTTTGGTATAATATAATATGTCCAATTTTCCATAAGGGAAACTACTTTTCAAATTATCTTTTGGTGTTTGGTTTAGACGCAAAGGTCGGTGGCATGTGATAATAGTAGAAAGTGGTAGGTTGGAACATGAGGGTGATGCTTTAATTGCTGCGATTAGTATACTTAATAAGAAATATATACATGATGTTAAGCACAAGTGGTATGAAGTAAGTATTGACATAATTATTACTCAAACTGTTATATATGTGGTATGACACAAAATGTTTTCACAAAAAATATTTTGCTTCATAAAATCATTTTCTGGAGGTTTCTTGTCTCCAATTGCTAAAGTTTTTTACACAAGAAACTTTTTTTACACCAAATGGGGGAAAAAATTTACATAAGGCAGAACTTATGTTTTCATTTCCAGTGCTTATTGGTAGATCAATCTTTTGAAGTTTCACTTTTTTGTTTTTGGCTTAATTGCATTGCTACAGATGTGAAAGTGGGTGATGAGCTACTAATAGATGGTGGAATGGTGAGGTTTGAAGTGATTCAGAAAATTGGTCCAGATGTCAAGTGTCTATGTACAGATCCTGGACTTTTATTGCCTCGGGCCAATTTGACATTTTGGCGGGATGGTAAATTAGTAAGCGAACGGAATGCAATGCTTCCAACTATTTCTTCAAAGGTTTGCATCTATGTTCCTTGTGCAGATCCTTTTTTATATGCTCAGCTTACTTAACTGCAATTGAGACATACATCTTTGGCTTAAGTATGAATTCTTGTAGTATGTATGTTTTCCTATAATTGCAATCTGCAGCTTTCTATCTCCACAAATTTTGTTGGCCTATGATAAATATAATCTAGGAAGTTAAGCTCTCATTAACAGATAAAGTTTATGAAATCTAATTCCTTCATGTCTCATAGTTAATGCTTCAGATTTCTGATATTGACTTGTAATACTCTCTACTCTCTTAAAACAACAACAACAAACCCAGTAGTTTCCCACAAGTGGGGCTGAGGAGGGTAAAATGTACGCAGCCTTATCCCTACCCCTGGAAGAGCAGAGAGGCTGTTTCCGATAGACCCTTGGCTCTCTACTCTCTTAAAAGCTGGTATTTTCCTTTTTGGGTATTCGAAAAATGTAAAAAGAAATCCCAATGGAGAAACCCTTTTCTATATTACAGTTTAATACTATTTCTGTCTCCTTTGTGTACTTCACTATCATTATTTTGGGACTCAAACATTCTTTAACTACGATTTTAAACATTTGGTAAAATATTTAGAGTTTGGAATTCTACCACAACTCATTTGATATACTGGGTTCGAAATCAATTATTTGTATTTATTTAGTGAATTTTTAACACACATACTGAGTGATATCTACCCCTGTCTCTCACCCCTCGCAATCCTATTATAGATATACAGTCATATTTTTGATGATTTCTTATCTTAGTGATTATTGAATGAAATGTCTAATCAAATAGCTGCTAAACCTAAGTTACACTATTTTACATTGGTCTTTCACTAACTAAGCAGTTGCACTTTCAAATCTTATCATACGGATTTCATTTTCCAATTATATACATATGAACTTCCTTTTACACTAAAAGATGTGTTAGTATTCCAACAATTAACGGCTCATTTATGCACTCATTTGTATTCTGTTGCATAAAGAGTAAAATGAGTTTTTGATTTTGCTTGAAGTAGAACGACCTTGAACTCTTACCTGGTGGTTAATATGATGTTGATGTACTTCTTAGCTCATCTTCATTCACTTTATTTGGTACTTTCTCCTCTACTCAAATTTATGCAGGTCCTGTGCATAAAGGATCTCTCGCATTTCTCTTTATGCTTGACTTTAAAAAATTGGAATTTTAGTCTATCTCAATTATTTTGTTGCTACAGGATTGGTTAGACATCGACTTTGGGATTGCTGAGGGCGTTGATTTCATTGCTGTATCATTTGTCAAATCTGCTGAAGTCATTAAGCATCTTAAGAGTTACATTAAAGCCCACTCTCCTAATTCGTAAGAATACAGTCGCTTCTAAGCACCAAAAGCTGCTTCTGCCATGATGCCTCTTTCCTTCCAAATGAAGCATCTTTGTAGGGGTGGGATGATTCATTAATATGATCTAATGTACTGTGCAGTGATATTGCCGTAATTGCAAAGATAGAGAGCATTGACTCATTGAAGAACTTGGAAGAGATAATTCAGGCATCAGATGGAGCTATGGTGGCAAGAGGAGATCTTGGTGCTCAAATTCCGCTTGAACAGGTCCCATCAGAACAGCAAAGGATTGTTCAGCTATGCAGGCAGCTTAATAAGCCTGTTATAGTAGCCTCCCAGCTGCTTGAATCTATGATTGAATACCCTATTCCAACTAGAGCCGAAGTGGCTGATATTTCCGAAGCAGTTAGGCAAAGGGGGGATGCTTTGATGCTCTCTGGTGAGTCAGCCATGGGCCAGTATCCTGAGAAGGCATTGAGTGTTCTAAAAAGTGCTAGTTTGAGAATTGAAAGAAGCTGGAGAGAACAAAAACACCATGAAGTTATTGAACTACCATCCATAGCGTCTTCCTTTACTGGCAGTATTTCAGAGGAGATTTGCAACTCTGCTGCNTGATATGGAAAACAACCTCAACAAAACATTCTCCTTGTTAAAAGCTCGGGGCATGGTTAGATCAGGTGACCTTATCATTGCTGTCTCTGATATACTGCAGTCCATTCAAGTTATGAATGTTCCATGACCACATGATTAAGTTTTTTCACAAGTTCTGATCTGGGAAACCTTGATAATCTATTCCCCAATCATATTAATATACATTTATCAGGGTTTTTCTTTGCTAGAGAGTTAAATATCACATCTTTATTGAATATATCCAATTCTTGGGAGCTGGATTACTGAGATATGATGGAACTCAACTGTGTTAGTAAAGATATATATGTTGCAAAACCTGGTTCCCATTATTTGGAAAATGTAGCCTCTTCTTGATTTATTAATTGGTACATTGGGAAAATGTTCAAAGTTGTCCCTTCTCCCTAAACTTTGCCTTCCATTAGAAGTTGGCGACAAAAATGTTATTACTCTTTTGTCTCATATTTGCCTTTTTACTTACGGCCCTTTATCTGGACTATTTACTACATGTTGGTGTCATTCTTACATCTTTTAGAATTTTGATATTACTATAAAAATATTGAAACAAACATGAGAATATGGTTGACATAAGTGGAATATAGTCCTAGGATAACTTATTGACACTTGACAAGACATGACCAACGAGTTAAGAAGGCAAAAAGAAGCACAAAAAAGAAGAGAATATTGACAGTTTTTAGAAGACATTCATGAGATTAAGATATATTTATGCGGTGACCAAGATTAACATCCAATGTGATATGCGCACGTCTGAGTATCTTTGATCCATTGAACGGGAGCTCTTGCACACCGGACTCCCGGATCTTGACCGACTTTTGTCTCTGTTGGATCAGTTGATCTTACACTCAGGCAAGCTTATATAGTTATGCTCAGGAGCAGAATCTTAACTTAGACTGCCACTCTTTTTGTCAGGAGGTGTTATGTCGAGGAAGAGGCAACAAGAAAATAAAGAAAATAAAGAACACCAAATTTTAACGTGGAAAACCCTTCAAATCGAAGGTAAAAACCACGGGATCACAAAGATCCAAAAAGCTCCACTATAACAATAAGAGGGTTACAAAAGTTCTCCAAATTGACTACACAACAAGTGCCAAACACGGAGCAACAATAGTAACAAGAGCAACAACTAATCAATTGAAGAAAGAGGGGAATCCACAAAAACGAAGCTGTTGTTCGAGGCTCGAAATCAGATGCTACGAGCCGCCAAATTCGATCTACACCGTTCAAATCAAAGACCAAGATGTTACGAATACTCAGTCAACATTTCAGCTTGATCCAACAGTTAACGAATCGGAAAACGCGATTTGAAATTGGCTGGTCGAAATAAAAATCTGTAGCAAAAATATATTTTTCTTCTCTCTTCTCTCTTGATGAAAGCTCTCTCAGAAGCCACTCTTATGTTATTAAGTCTTTCAAAGACTTCTACCAATGAGCATAGAATAATTCTCCAAGGTTGTCCTATTTATAGATCATGAGTGGTGTTTTCTCTTAAAACCAAAACCCACTCAAAATAGGAATAAAAATTGAATCCAATTCCGAATAGGAATGGAAACCAAAAGAGAATAGGATTAGGCCATTGGGCCTTTGACTGGACAACGTGGGCATGTGCCCAACAAACTCCCCCTCCAGCCAAGGGGCCAAATGTGTCTTCAAGTAGAGGAAATATTGACAGGCTTCATGCCTGCCAATTTTCTACAAAACGCATGCTTATCTGCAAGGTTAACTACGAAGTCCTCAGGCTGCTCCATATAAATCTCCTCATCTAAATCACCATGAAGAAAAGCAGTCTTGACATCCATCTGTTCAACCTCTAAATCTAGACTTGCGGCTAAGCCTAGAACCACACGAATAGAAGACATCTTCACAACAGGGGAGAAAATTTCATCAAAGTCAACTCCCTTCTTCTGGCCAAAACCTTTAACAACTAACCTCGCCTTGTATCTAGGCGCAGAGGTATGGTTATCTTGCTTTATTCTAAATATCCATTTGTTAGATAAAGCTCGCTTACCTTTCGGCAATTTTACTAACTCATATGTGACATTCTCATGGAGTGACTTCATCTTATCTTCCATGGCTTCGATCTGATCTTTGTGAGTATCTTGCATGACTTCATCATAATTCTCAGGTTCTCCCATGTCAGTCAAAAGTACATACTCATCAGGAGGATAGCGCATGGATTTTTGCTTCTCCCTTGTAGATCTTTTAAGAGAGGTTTCAGGAGCATTCAAAATAGTTACCTGTGCAGGAATTAGTTGTTGATCAACCACAACTTCATCAACTGGAGCATCCATAACATCTACACCATGATGATCATTTTGATCTTGATCACTATCTCCATCATTGTCTTGGGTTCCTTCATGTGAAATAGGTGCCTTAGCAATTGAAACTGGATCAATATCAACTAAGCTCTCATTACTCTGAGAATCTATCTTCTTAGCTTTGTCAATATCTTCAATAGTTTGGTTTTCAAAGAATATTGCATCACGACTTCTAATAAGTTTATTGTCAACTGGATCATAAAAACGATACCCAAACTCATCTTGACCATAACCGATAAAGATGCACTGCTTAGTTTTGACATTCAGTTTCGATCTCTCATCTTTAGGAACATGCACACAAGCTTTACACCCAAAAACTCTCAGGTGATCATAAGAAACATCTTTGGCAAACCAAACTCTATCTGGGATATCACCATCCAAAGCAACAGTATGAGACAAATTGATAACATAGGCAACAGTGTTTAGTGTTTCCGCCCAAAATGTATTTGGAAGTTTAGCCTCTGAAAGTAAGCATCTAACTCTCTCAACTAGAGTTTTATTCATCCTCTCTGCCAAACCATTCAATTGAGGCATCTTGGGCAGAGTTTTATGATGACGAATTCCTTGTTCTTTGCAATAGTTATCAAAGGGACCACAATATTCACCACCATTGTAAGTGTGAATACATTTTAATTTCTTCCCCCTCTGTCTCTCAGCTAAGGCCTGAAATTCCTTAAACACGCCAAGTTCTTGATCTCTAGATTTCAAAGGATACACCCAGAGCTTACGAGAATGATCATCAATGAAGGTCACAAATTAAAGTGCACCACCTTTTGACTTTACTTTTAAAGGACCACACAAATCCGAGTGTACTAGCTTCAATAAATCGGGCTTTCTTGAAGGAGGATGACTATGAAAGGAAACCCTTTTCTGTTTGCCAGCTAAACATTAGATATATCTTTTCAACTTTGCTTGTTTCAATCCAGAAAGCAAACTTTTCTTAGCCAAACACGTAATCCCCCTATCGCTCATATGACTCAATCTTCTGTGCCACAATTCTGATAAAGTATCACTTTCCACCAGATTTATTGAGTCATTAAGAATAGAGCCCCGTGTCACATATAAATAACCAGACTTGACTCTGCGAGCCACTACTAACGAGCCCTTAGTGAGCTTCCATTGGCCATTAAAGAGCGCATTATGGTAACCTTCATCGTCTAATCTTCCTGTGGAGATCAAATTGAAAGGAAAATCTATAGCATGCTTGACCTCTTGAAGAACAAACGTTGAACCATTATTAGTTTTCAAACAAACTGTGCCAACACCAAACACCTTAACTTCACTGGCATTGCCATCTTTAACTCTCCAGAATCAACAGGAGTATAAGATGAGAAAAAATCTTTTCTTGGTGTGACATGTGAGGTAGCTCCAGAATCTACTATCCAGCTAGTCTCATGGGATACCAAATCGATGACGCTTTCATCATAAGCAAAAAGAAGGTCATCTCGAACAATAGCAGCAACATTGTTCTCGTTATTTTCGGCTTTCTTTCCTTCTCTAGTGTCTTGATTCAACTTGCGGCAAAACCTTTTGATGTGTCCTTTCTTGCCACAGTGGTTGCAAATAATATTATAGTATTTAGACCTTGACTTACTTTTACCTTTACCTCTATTCCTTGAGCCTCTTGTTCTATCTCTCCCCCGGTCTTCTGTAACCAAGATATCTGCTTGTGAGGACGAACCCTGAGATTTTCTCCTTACTTTCTCATTCAACACACCACTCTTGGCATATTCCATGGTCACCTTACCTCCAGGAGCTGAATTTGTCAAAGAAACACAAAGAGTTTCCTGAGAGTCTGGGAGAGTATTAAGAAGCCAAAGTCCTTGTATCTCATCATCAAAATTAACTCCCATTCCAGATAGTTGATCAAGGACGCCCTGAAAATCATTTATGTGATCAAGGATAGGATGTCTTCCTTGTATTTAAAGGTCATCAATTGCTTTAGCAGGAACAACTTGTTGTTCCCAATTTTTGAAGCATAAAGAGCCTCCAGCTTTTCCCACAATGATCTCGCATATGTCTCGTTCATAATATGGTTGCGAACATTATCCTCAACCCATTGACGTATATATCCACATACTTGATGGTTCTCGAAATCCCAATCTTCATCAGATACACTCTCGGGTTTATGAGCTGAAAAAACGGGTAGATGCATCTTCTTCACGAACAACAAATCTTTCATCTTGCTTCTCCAAACATTATAATTTCTCACATTTAAACATACCATCTTGCTCATATTCGCCTCCATTCCGTTATAATCTGGATAAATAACCAAGGCTCTGATACCACTGTTATGTCGAGAAAGAGACAAACCCGAAAATAAAGAAGGTAAAGAACACCAAATTTTAACGTGGAAAACTCTTCAAATCGAAGGTAAAAATTACGGGATCACAAAGATCCAAAAAAGCTCCACTGTAACAATAAGAGGGTTACAAAAGTTCTCCAAATTGGCTACACAACAAGTGCCAAACACGGAGCAACAATAGTAACAAGAACAACAACTAATCAATTGAAGAAAGAGGAGAATCCACAAAAATGAAGTTACATTTTGAGGCTCGAAATCAGATGTTACGAGCCCCAAATCCGATCTCCACTGTTCAAATCTAAGACCAAAATGTTACGAACACTCAGTCAAAATATCAGCTCGATCCA